TACCCCGTTATGTCCCGGGACCCAAGTGACTATTTTGCTCGTCTACCTCATTCAATTGTTCTAGACATCTCCAGACCATTTTTGAGCTGATTACGTAAAAGCTTAGCGCTTTGGTGGCAGACTATCGGACGATGATAATCTCTTGTCTGTGATAGTTTCTCTTGATGTTAAACTGGATACACTTCTCGATAGCGTGAATTTCCGCCTGGAAGATACTTGGGTATTTTTCCAAGCTTTCGGAGTGCTTGGTTCTCAGCCCATATACTCCTATTCCAGTTTCTTATATGGTTTTGGAACCGTCCGTATACCACTGAATAGCCCGTCTTTCAGTTGTAAGCGCGATGGATTATTGGCTCTATTCTTTCTTGCAGCCCAGCTCTGTGGTTTTGAAGTTTTTCACAAAACTGTACTTCCTTTGGCATTTCATCCTGGGGCATATGCCAGGTATCTTTAGTCCTGAAGCAAGTATACTTTCGTCTGATTACTCTGTTTCTGATCATTCTATATCGTGTCCTTTTTGCCACATTTTCTATCATCAAATGTAGAGGGGTGAGGTTTAAGATCACCTCCATTGCGGCCGTAGGACAGGTTCTCATTGCACCAGTAATGCAAACACAGGCTAGTCTTTATACTTTTGAGATATTAGCTCTCGTAGTAGCTAAACTAGTTCTGTTACTCCAGGCTATGGCCCCGTAAGTGATGATTGGTCTCACTATTGCAGTATACATACATCGCAGTATGTTTGGGTTACATCCCCATCGTTTACCTGCAATGTTTCTGCATACCTTTAGGGCTTTTGTGGCCTTATTTACTACTTCCTTCTCATGTGTGTTCCAGAGAAGTTTGTTGTCCAGGGTTAGGCCTGGTTACCTTGCATCCCTGTTTGTTATTTGCGTAAGATCCACATTTATTTCAACAATTACTTACACTTTTAGTTTCAATAAATATCTACTCCGATAAAATCTTTTAAAAGACGTTTAAAATTATGTATTTGTTGTTTAAGAATAAAAACAATAAAGACAAAAAAATACTTGTGGTTTCACAGAGTTGACAAGCATGGTTATCTAGTGAAATCAGTACCCATCACCCGTACTCAGAGCATAAAATAATCTCCATAAGAAATGCATTGCATTTAAAAATACTGATATTTAAAGCACCAAAGTTAACCGAACATTCTGAAAATCAGTAGGGTTCTCATTTGCAAGATAACATAATACAACCAGTGGTATTGGGTCTATCGATAATCACATAAGCTAATACACGAAACGTGTTATCAAAACTTAATTTATTTGACAACGCACTGATTAATTTAACCGATATTAAAATTAGAGGAAATTATTACATTGTGAGTGATATCAAATAAAAACAAAACAGCAAATGGATTAGCGCTTTTGTTTTAGAGATATCGTGTCGGCGCACATACTCACACGCAGGCACAGACGTCCAGATGAGATTTTTTACATTTTTTGACTTATGGTGGTCGTAAAAGAGGCGAAAACTGTTTAAGAGTGAGGATAAAAAAATTTGTTCGTCTAATCTTCTGGTTCAAATTGCTTATTAAAGGTATTTAAATATTAAAAATTTGATTCAGTATACAATTTATATTAGTAATTTATTGTTTTAAATCGTATTATATAATGCTAACTGCTTACAAATCAAAATAAATTAGACATTTTTAAGCACACTATCCTATAAAATTTGGGAGGTACCCGCCACTGCATTGAGTTTCTTCTGCCGTTTGAACTATATCATTATACCCTTTACGTATGTTTATTTGAATTTTTTTTAAAAGTGCATCATTTTCGTTTACCATAATACAAAAATATGCCAATAATGTACCGTTAACTATTCACTGTGGTTTTTTTGTTATTTCAATTGTAGGAATTAACTGTATCTGTAAAATACACTGTTATAAATACATTGTTTTGAGTGCAGTTTTATAAGTATTCTATAATTGGCATAAATGTATTTTTGTAATTTTTACATTTTTTGTGATCGCAGCAAGTGTCAAAATGATTTACTTTAAGCAACATTTCGAACAATTCCTCTAAATATTTTTCCAAAATAATATTTTATTTTTAACATTCTACCTTTAATCTATCTCTGGTATTTTTCTTATTTATAAATATGTGTAAATATAAAATCTGAGTAAGACTTTTAAGTCGAAAGTTAAAATTATATAAATAAGGTAATTTTGAACAATTAAAAGATTTAATTGTTAATTTGTTCAAAATTACCTTATATACAGGGTGCCAATTTGAAAACTTTCAATGCGAATATCTCGCAAAATGAAGAAGTTGGAGAAACGCCGTTTGGCACAAATGTTATAGAGTTAGGGGGAACTAGAACCACCATATTTCAGTGAAGGGGTGAGTCACCCCTTTGGCGCGACACACCCCAACTTTAAAATGTCAAATAGCACTACCCCTTTTGTTATACTTCAAATGAAAGGTCTCATTTAATAGTATTCACCTGTAAAAGAATTTTTTTCCATTCAATGTAGGGTGTAACAAAAACATGAATTGGAATAAAATAAACTGTATTTTGTTATTTTTATTTGATCAGATAATTCAAAATACATTCCATTTATTTCTAAACGAGAGCACAATTGATTTTCAAACTCCGTTATTGTTATTAAGATGATATTTTATTTCATTAGATGGTCAACATGCATTCCATTTTTTTGTAAACAAAAAAAACTTCAAATTCCATTCTAAAATTTTGGAGCACTTATCTGAGAATAAAAAATAGCATTGAATTTATCGGGTACGTACCTACCTATCAATGTTTGTATAAAATTTAGTCACAATTTAGTCGTTAGTGCATGGTTGTACTGCAAAGTCAGAACTGTCTAATTGAAGAAATACGAGTATAATTTTTATTTGCTGTTCATGATGGTCTACAGTTTGGCTGAAAGAATTCAGATTGTGTTTATTTATGGTTCAGAAAATCGTTGTGCCTTCAGAACTGCTGCAGCATTTAACGAAATAAACCCCGGAAAAAATGTAAGTCATACTTACATCAGACAACTGATTATTAAATTTGAAGGAACATGATCAGTGGCAAACAAAAAAAGGGTCCATCAAAGAATACTTAATGAAGCAGCACAAGTGGAAGTTTTAGGACATTTTGCTATGAATCCTACAATGTCTCTACGCCAAGCTTCGGCGATAACGGGAATTTCTCATGAAGCTGTTCGTCGAGTACTCAAACTTCATAAGTTTTACCCGTACAAAATGCAAATTCTTCAGGAGTTTCAGGAGGATGACCTCGATCGAAGAATGCAATTTTGCGAGGACATGACCGAAATGTTACGTGTTACTCCCCAGTTGCTAAAAAATATTTGTTTTAGCTACGAATGCGTGTTTCATTTAAACGGTTCAGTGAACAAACACAACTGCAGGTATTGGAGTGACGAAAATCCGCATTTTTTCAGGGAAGGGCTCACGCAGTATCCAGAAAAAGTAAATGTCTGGGCGGGAATTTTAGACGACACTGTGATTAGGCCATTATTTATTAATGGCAATCTTAATGCCGATACTTACTTGGAAATGTTAGACACCACCATTCAACCTCTCATTGTTGAAAAAATTGAAAATCAGCTGGACATTGACGGAAACAGGAATCTGAATAAAAATTTAATATATTTTCAGCAAGACGGAGTACCACCCCACTACGTTCTTCCAGTCAGGCAATTTTTGAATGACGCTTTTCCAGGTCAATGGATTGGACAGAGAGGTCCAATCGAATGGCCGGCGAGATCTCCCGATCTAACACCTCTTGACTTTTTTCTCTGAATACATTTGAAATCCATCGTATTTAAAACAAAACCGGATTCAATAGAAGATCTTCGGCAACGAATTATTACGGAATGCAGCAATATTCTAAGAGAAGTGTTCCACAATGTTAGAACAGAATTTGAAAATCGATTATACTATTGTTTTGCACAAAATGGAATGCATTTTGAACATCTAATCAAATAAAATATCATTAAATTTTTTTATTCGAATTTTTTGTTTTTGTTACCCCCTGTATTGAATGGAAAAAAATTCTTGTACAGGTGAATACTACTAAATGAGGCCTTTCATTTGAGGTATCACAAAAGGGGTAGTGCTATTTGACATTTTAGAGTTGGGGTATGTCGCGTCTAAGGGGTGACTCCCCCGCTCACTTAAAAATGGTGGTTTTAGTACCCTCTAACTCTATAACATTTCTGCCAAACGGCGTTTTTCCAACTTTTTTATTTTGCGAGATATTTGCACTGAAAGTTTTCAAATTGACACCCTGTATATATAATTTTAACTTTGGACTTAAAAGTCTTACTCATATTTTATATTTATACATATTTATAAATTGTAAGTTTACATCCACAATTTTTGTAGATAAGCACTGATGATGGCACAATGCCGAAAGCGCTTTGCATTTATTAATTAAAAAGTTTTGCACGAAATACAAGTCTTTCCTTTTGAATCTAAACTACGTGCACAAAGCTGTCAACCTTTTTTGGTTATTTTAATTTTATTTTTATTGTTTAATTGATTGTAATTTTAGTTTCAAATGAGATATTTAGAAATTTTAAGATACTCTGTAGAATTAAATGATTAAATTATTTCTTTTGTTTTAACTTTAACGGAACCGAATACAAATTACAGCTCATATGTATATTCAATTATTTTTACAAAGGTATTGCCAATCAATGAACTCATGTGAGAAAAATCTCACAACAGTTAAAAGAAATAAGTATTTCAGATATAGGTCACTTTTTTCTTACTTAATTATTATTTCTATAAAACATTTCAACAGATCAAGTAGATCTCTCGATAAACATGTTTATGGGTTTTTTAAGAGAGTTCAATTTTTATTCTACCGATTGGAAGGTTTTTAAAAATCAATTGGAAAATTTCTTTGTAGTGAACAATATCAGCGATACAGTGAAAAAACGTGCTTTATTCCTGAATATTTTGGATAGTGAAAGTTATAAATTATTAGTGACTTTGTGCATGCCCGAGTGCCCAGAAGATACACCATTTGATGCTTTATTGGATCTATTTAAGCAAGAATTTACACCTGGTGATTCTATAGTTGGTAAAAGATTGAAATTTTATCACTTAAAAAAAGATGATCAAGAAGATGTTGATTCATGGGCGAAACGTGTTGAAAGTGCGGCAGAGAACTGTAAATTCGGAGATGACGCGGACTTTAATTTGAAGAAAAAATTCATTAGTGGTTTTGAAGATATTAATTTATACAAGTATTTAGAAGAAAATATTCATTGTCCTTTTAGTGAACTTTTGCAAAATATTTCTCTGGTGAAAGAGAAGCACGAATGTAATTGCAAGAAAACAGAGTTTGATTATGGATATTCTAATTGGCTAGGTCAATTTTATCCCTCTTATTTTATGTAAATTAGTTTTATATTTTTCGACATAAGCACACATTATGTAAGAGGCATACGACAAAAACAATAAAAGAGTGAATAATTACTATAGTTTTTCTGTAACCACTTATCCTTGAAGAACTAGGGAGACGGACATATTACGGAGAGTCCACAACTCAATCCTTTAACTAGTTTTTGATATACACCATTTTGTAAAAACTTGTTTACAGATATATTCCAAGAATAATGCTTTATTAATATCAAAGAATATTTCCAGTATAACCTATGACGTAAATTATTAGTTACAGGGTGAGTAACAAATTACTGAAAATTAAATTTTTATTTTCACTTTAGCATGGGATTATTTTTTTAATTAATAACACGCTAAAAAGCTCGGTTTAATTAATCAAAATTATGGATATTTTATGTAAGGTGAGTCAAAAAGTTGCTTTGTTAATTATACAATTTTATCGCCTGTTAATAATGGACCTCAAACTATTCTAAAATATATAACGTTTATAAAATAAATACAGTATCATTCGAAAGTTATGTTACGAGAAAAACGAGAAAAATTGTCTTTTCTTTCTCGTCCTATATTTTAAAATGCCGCTGGTTAAATTGCATAATTGTTTCCTCAGCACCACAGAGGTGGAATTTTGTTTATCAAAAACTAGTGATACATTTAAAGAATTAAATATTAAAAACATTGAAAGCTGGAAATTTGGTAATAAGTGAAATGGTTAATATACAGGGTGTCCCGAAATTAGACGGTCATATTTTAACAGCGTAATCTACATCCTAAAATAGGAGTAAAAGTTTATATAAACAAAGGTCCGAAAACGTTTCTTTTTCGAGATACAGGGTGTTAAAAGTGAAGTCCTGATGACACATTTTTGTAAATATTTTTTAAACGCTCTAAAGACTAAATGAAATTTGGTACAAATGCTTAACTTTTTACGCTCTATGTAATGGACTAAATCTTAGTTTTTATTCATCTTCATAGATGGGTAAATTAGGGGGGGGGGGGGGGCTTATGGTAAAATTGCCCTAAGTTTTTTTGTTGTCAGTTTTTAACATTTTTGACTAAAAAATTTGGAAACCCAATGTTTTTTTTTACAATAGAGCTACTCTTGCTGCATCTCGCTAGGACGCACCATTTTCAAGAGAAACGCATTTGAAAATTTCATGATAAATTCATATTATCTTATTCGAAAGTACAAACAAAAATTAGTAGGCCTGGAATTCAATAGCTGCTTTTCAATTTTTTGAGACGCTGTGATAAACAAAAATTGGCTGTCAATTGTGTAATTATTTGTACTTTTTTGCGTGAAAAAAAAAAAATACTTCCAATAAATGAAGAGATTTTCAAATAGAGAATTGGCAGATATTCATTTTGTATATGGTTTGTGTAATGGAAGAGCAAGAGCAGCGGTTCGAGCATACCGTAGACGGTTTCTTAACCGAAGAATTCCTGACTACCGTGTATTTATTAATACACATAGAAATTTGGTTGACCATGGTTCATTTCAACGTGATCGTGGACAAGGGAGACCACATGGGAACAACAATTTGGAACACGCCCTTAATTTATTTGAAGAGGACCCAAGAAGGAGTATTCGAACTGTTTCCACCCTTTCAGAAATACCACGAGCAATAGTAAGTAATAATTACTTCCCTTTTTCTTTATACTATTTTGTGATTCTTAGTTTTTATTGCTCAAATTTACAAGTACAAGTATTAGAAATTAAAAAATTAAACAAACCGACTCCAAAAACGTGCAGATGCCATCACCACATCTTAACCAAATTTATATGGGACTTCCCCTGAGGTATCCCCTTACTAACAAAGTTTAAGTTTAAATACTATTTAGTTTTACCATTTAAAGTTATTTTATAAAATAAACATTAAATTAAAGCTAAATACATTTCTTTAGTCACCGGTTTTCCAAACCTGAAAAAAAAAATTCTGATTCCACAGGCCTGCTAATTATTGTCTGCACTTTCGAATAAAATAATATGAACTTATCATAAAATTTTCAAATGCTTTTTTCTTGAAAATGGTGCATCCTAGCGAGATGCAACAAGAGTAGCTTTATTGTAAAGAAAACATTGGGTTTTCAATTTTTTTAGTCAAAAATGTTAAAAACTGACAACAAAAAAACTTAGGGCAATTTTACCTTAAGCCCCCCCTAATTTACCCATCTATGAAGATGATCAAAAACTAAGATTAAGTCCATTACATAGAGCGTAAAAAGGTTAGCATTTGTACTAAATTTAATTTAGTTATCTTTAAGCGTTTAGAAAATATTTACAAAAATGTGTCATCAGGACTTCACTTTAAACACCCTGTATCTCGGAAAAGAAACGTTTTCGGACCTATGTTTAAATGAACTTTTACTCCTATTTTAGGATTTAGATTACGCTGTTAAAATATGACCGTCTAATTTCGGGACACCCTGTATACAGGGTGTCCTAAAATAAATCGATCTAACACAATTTTTATATATATTCCGAAATATACCGTTTGTCCGTGAGAAGTGTTAAAGTCTACTTAAAAAAATCACATTTTCTTAAGCTGTTTAGAAGTTAACGAAACAAATTTAATGAAATTTGGCAAAAGTAGTTTTCAATTCTAATCAACTTTTCTTAATGACAACTTTCTATATTGTTAAATTGTTAAAAGTAAAGGTACTTGCATTCTACAGCAACTAACTGCAGTTACAGATGATATTGTTTCTTCTTTCGATAACAATAAACTTTGCCTTTTAATTTTGCTTGTATACTCCCGTGCCTTTGACACTTTAAATCATCAAAAATATTGCTTGCACTTTTATATTATGTAGGTTTTAATACTATTGCCATTAATTTAATAAACTCATTTCTTTCAGACAGTCAACAAAAGGTAAAAAATCGAAAATGATTTTTCGAAGAGTTTGCTAGTGTTGCAGGGTGTATCACAGGGAAGTATTTTAGGCCCTGTGCTATACACTATGTACACTTCTAACTTCCATACCTATCTGTCTTACTGTAATTACCATTTCTACGTAGATGTTACACAATTGTATTATTCGTTTCCTTTATCTGACATTAACTTGGCACAAATATAAATTAATAAAAATTTATCAACAATAGAGTCATTATCAGAGAGACACCTATTAAAAATAAACGCAAAAAAATCTTACACCATTTTGTTTGGATACGAAAAACATAGATTGCTGGCTATGGAACAACTACAAACTAATATAGGTACAGACATTCTTGCTCTAAGTGTATGAAATTCATTTCGAAAGAAAAAAAGAATGTACCATTTGCCTTATTACATTCTTTACCCAAGTTTCGATAAAGGTCTTATTTCTTCCTGGGGGATTTTTTGGATGTGAAACTTCTCCAATAACTGTTTCTTTTTTAATAATGTTATACACTGTCCGCTTAGGTCTCACATTTAGTGGCTATTTCATGCACAAAAACAGAAACAACTTTTCGAAGATTATTAAATACATTAAGTACTAAATTTTTAAGTCGGTCATGTCGAAACAGGGAACATTATGCACATGTATTCCTGACCAAGCAAGCAGAGGGCGTAACTGACAAGCAAGTAAAATTGTTACTTTAATCATTATGTCAATAGATGTCAGGCGGAATTTCCTCCTACAAGTTTTACATCGCGATTATCCGACTATAATTTTTCATACAACGATCACATGATTTACGCGTCTCTGTCCCAGTTTTAAACTATCATTAGCATATCAAGAAAATTATAATTTGAAGATATGAAAACCAACAATCTATATGTTATTATTTTAAATATGGAATAATTATTAACATACATGACTACAACAAACCTAAGTCGAAGTAGTAATTTGTACTTGATTACAAAAAGTCTTAGAAACGTTCACATAAAAGACAATGTGCGAAAGGCAAAACTTCAACAATTAGTTGTATTAAAAGTGGATAAACTGTGGGAAGGAATGTAAGGAATGCGAACTCTTTGTTTAACCTTAAGTCAACCGTGGTGACCGCCGGAAGATGATGCGTTTCAAAGGATATTTAAGTCGATGTGGTTTAATTTTCATACATGATTCTTTTGTATATAATCAATGAGTGTTGCTTTTTGAAGGTAGTTTTTTCTTTTAATCCGCTAAGGAAAAAAGTACTTTGTACCTGATGCCGGAAATTTGATGGTGAATTAACTGGATTATTTAGTAAAATTATTTTGTTTTCATGTTTTATGAAAAACAAAACGTCGAAATTAACAAAGCACAATGAACAATTAATTATAAATGATGTTCCATCCAAATCTATTCAAATAAAAATTCAGGAGAAAAGAGGAGGTTTGTCCCAATTATAAGATATTACTGCCGAAAGAAGGTGTTGAAGTTTCTATTTTTTGTTTTTGTTTGAATTAAGGCCGGGCATTGGTAATGTATTTAACATAGGCATACACAACGTTCTTTCGGTGACTTTTTAGCCCAAACAACAAGGAGAAAACTGAAAAAGATCCTGCCGGTAATAGATATAATTATACTATTGTTCATAAAGGTTTTTAGTATCTCTTACTGTAAGTGATCGTTAAAAAATAATTCCCAAACAATGGTAATATTTACAATGAAATAAAGATAATATTATACCAGTAATAATTACCCGATGATGAAATACTTAATTCTTCTTTGAATAGATTATACATTAAAGCAACAAATGTCACTTAAAAGATCTAAATCAATTGCGTCAATTCCTTAGAAGCTCATTGAAGGAAATTTTGGAAGAAATTTCAAACATCCATTTATGTGTAACAATGACATCTTCCTTTACATCTCACACACTTTCTTCAATATGGAAAATTTCTTCGGTGACACCTATTTTTAAACTCCGTCCATCCAACTATCGTCCAATAAGCCTCGTCCCAATTGCCTGTAAAATAATGGAATCCATATTAACCAATTATATGTCTGATTTTCTAAAGAGCCATGACATTTTGCCAAAAGAATAACACGGTTTTATCACAGGCCGATCCACACTAACAAACTTAATG